CTCAATCCGCGAAACTCTTGCAAATTTTCAAAACGAATGTAAATGTCCTTGTGTTCTTGCCGCCAGTGCTTCTTATACGTCGCTTGCGGTGGGGGGAGGTGGAAGATTTGGTTTGCTTGCTGTCTGGCACGGTGCTAAAGTTATCGTTCGGCTCGAATCCCCCCCCCGAATCTCTTGTGCGGTGCTAACGATGACGTTGGGGGGGTTCTTCAGTACTTCCCGCGAGTAGAATCACAAAAACGTGTCGGCACCCCTCCTGGATCTGGGCGCCTTTCATTTAGCGTTGGCTGGCACGCATCGGACACCGATGGACCACCACAACGCACTTGCACGTTTTGGCCACTCGACTGGCAAGACTCGGGGACGAGACTGCGCTTCTGCCCACAGCACCCTTCCGAACACGTGATCCACCCACCGGTCTGTGTGCTCTTGGCCTCCGCCCTGTGCATTCCGGCTCCCTCACACTGCACTCCACATCCAGAGGCAAGGACGACCATGGGGGAGCATCCTAACCATGCCGATGCCGCTCTTCTCGGGTCGGGCGAAAGGGGGGGATAGCAAAGGGGGGGGTTGAGAATCAGCTCACGTAGCTGATTTTCCCGGCGCCTCCCGGCGCCGGGAGGCGCCCATGTATCGAGGAATGGGCCCCTCGGCGGAGCCGACACCAGCTGCATGCAGCAGATTTCGTAACCCCCCCTTTCCCTATCCCCCCCTTTCGTCTGGCCCGAACCATGATCCTAACCATGCCGATGCCGCTCTTCCCAGGACCTCGCTGGGGCGAGCTCTGACGAGGCCTCCGAGAGGCAAATGCAGCCAGGGCTACGGGAGCCCCCGCCGGGAAGCCCCAGGGTGAGAACTGGCGAGGGGCGGGAACGTCGGCATCCTCCCTCCCGGACCTGCTCCCGCACTGAGTGCGGGCAACAGTTGTCTATATCCACTGCAGTATGGAGTTTCGGGTTCCCTTCCCAAGAAATCCGAGGCGCACTGGATATGGATAAAGTTGCCCCCCAGAGGCTCGACTTTTATCCATATCCAGTGCGCCTCGGCCTTGTGGCGCCGCTTCCAAAAAAGTCCAGGACGCTCTGGATCTGGATATAAGTATCGCCCGCACTGAGAGCCCCGTCCAGGGGCAAGAAAAACTGGCAGGACTCCCTGACCCCCCAAAGGCGGGCCGCGCAGGTGATGCCGTCGCACGTGTCCAGGGAGGAGCCCGTGGTGTAGACCGGGTACGCGGCCGCCTGCGGGCCGTCGCGGAGGGGGGAGGAGGGGATGCGATGCGATGCGATGCGACCACCGTTGCGGACAGCGTCCGGGCCTAGAGCAGACCAGGTGGGTGAGGCCATGGCCTCTAGGATCTGAGGTGGTCTGGATTCATGCAATGCGAGACATGTAAAAAGTTAGGGAGGAGAGTAGAGGGGGCAGGGGGGGGAGGGGTGGGCAGGGGGAGCGAGCTCCCGACGAATACCCCACTCGAAACCAGCCCACGCATCCCCTCCAGGCACCATCCTGGTCCGTTCTCCGAGCCGAGTGCGGCCGTGGCGGCGAGAGGCCAGCGTGGCCCCCACGGAAGGCCTAGCGAGAGAGGAGCAAGCGAGCAGGCAAGCAAGCAGCTCGCCATCGCTCGGACGTCCATTCCCTATGTTTTTTGTCGGTTTCGTGCGTGGCTTTTTCGCCAAATGATCAAGGATGCTCCTCGATGGTCCTCGCCGAAGGAAAAATGCACACGTCCGAGCGATGCCCAGAGCATACGACGCAAGTCGGTTGGAGGAGCACCCCGCCGAGGCAGACTGGCCCCCTGCCTCAGCACCATGAGCAACATGCGCGGGCAAGAGCAGCACGAGGGCGAGCGGGAGCAGTCGGAATCGCAGCGGGAAACCGCAGGCGATGCCGCACTGGCACGGACCCGACACAGAATCGCATCGGCCGCACCGAGGCGCAAAAAAACACGTGGTGCAAGCATCGGGCACCGGCCGCATGGGGTCGTCGGAAAGACACAATTCCCAATCGGGTCGAGCCCCGGGCAATTTCGACGTCGAAGGAGATCGATCGGGTCCAAGGGTCCCGCAGGAGAGGGTGCGGGAGTGGAAAGGGGTTGAGGGGGGGACCGGCTCGGGGGGGGTATCGACCCGGAGCTGGCAAGGCATCGCTGATGGATCGCCGAGAGTCCGAGAGGCCCCCGATGGCGAATCCGCACGTTCCTGGACGGAGTGGGCTATCCGGCCCCAGTCGGCGCTGGATGGGCTATTGTCAGGAGGGGAAAAAACACACAGACACAATTAATCGTCGATTCCCAAGAAAATATAAGAAAATATGGGAACTGGGCGGGGAGGCAGAAACCCAGATAACATATGGAAATATTGGGAATTCTGTTATTCCCTACCTAGGCTCTGCCTAGAAGGGTTCTTACCCTGTGGGCTTAAAGGGCCGGGCAGTGCTCCCCGCCCCGGGCGGTTCCCCCGGCATCCGCCCCGCGGTTCCCCCAGTTACGTCCCCTTAGCTTAGCGTTGCTTAGCTCATCTTAGCTTAGCTTTTCTCATCTTAGCTTAGCTTAGCTTCATCTTAGCTCAGGTTTAGCTTAGCTTAGCTTACCTTCATCTTAGTTTCGCTGAGCTTTAGCATAGCAGAGCACAGCATAGCATAGCGCAGGATAGCATATCATAGCGTAGCATAGCACAGCAGCAAAGCAAAGGCAAAGCAACTGCAGCGACAGCAAAGCAAAGCACAAGCAGCGCAAAGCAAAGCAAAGCAAAGCAGCAAAGCAAAGGCAAAGCAACTGCAGCGACAGCAAAGCAAAGCACAAGCAGCGCAAAGCAAAGCAAAGCAAAGCAAAAGCAAAAGCAAAGCTAAGGAAAGGCAAAACAAAAACAATGTGCGACAGATGCCGAGCTAGCCTCGATGGCCGGACCGGAGCCCCCGCAAGCAGTGCCTTCCGAAACCATTTCGGCTCATGCTGCTGCTATACATTTATATACATACATACATACATACATACATACATACATACATACATACATACATACATACATACATATATACATACATACATACATACATACATACATACATACATACATACATACATACATACAAACATACGTACGTACATACATACTTACATACATACATACATACGTACATCTATACATACATACATACATACATACATACATGCATGCATGCATGCATGCATGCATGCATGCATACATACATACATACATACATACATACATACATACATACATGCATGCATACATACATACATACATGCATGCATACATACCTACCTGCCTACCTACCTACCTACCTACCTACCTACATACATACATACATACATACATACATACATACATACATACATATATGAGAGAGCGTGATCCACCGCCGCTTTACTGTGGAAAATTGCCAACCTTTTCCTCCGGAACCCGGGGTCTCCCCCCCCACCCCCCCTACGAAATCCCCCCCCCCCTGCCGGAACCTGTCCCCCCCCTCCCCCCCCTTCCCCAAGCAAAACCCCCCCCTCCCCTAACCCCTCCCCCCCCCCCTCGAACTCGAAAACCGGGGGGGGTCACTACCGGTTCGAACCCCTCCCCCCCCCCTCGAAAACCGGAGGGGGGGGTCACTACCGGTTTGAAACCCCCCCCCCCCCCCTCGAAACCGAAAAGGGTTCCTCGATCCGGTTCGACCCGCCCCCCCACGCACCGCCAGCAAACGACTGCCGGTCCCTACCACCGCTCGCATCACATCCCCCACTGTTGTTCCCAGCACAACTGTCCTCACCACCACTGTCCCCACTGGTTCCACCACCGTCCCTATTGTCCCCACCAATGCAATGCCCCCACCACTGTCGCACTGTCCCCACTGTTCCCACAACTGTTCCCACCACGGTTCCACTCTCCCCACTGTCTCCACGGACCCAACCACTGCCTATCCCCACTGTCCCACTGACTCCTCCGCTGTCCCACTGAGCTGTCCCACTGTTTCCACCACTGTCCCCACTGTCCCCACCACTGTCCCCACTGTACCTCTGTCCCATTGTCCCACCGCCGTCATCGCCACCGCCTTTACCAGTGTCCCCACCACCATTGTACCCTCCACTGTCCCAGTGTTTCCACCTCATTCCCACTGTCCCCACACCACTGTCCCCACCACCACCGTTCCCACCACTGTCCACTGTCCCCCTGTTCCCACCATTGTCCCCACCACTGTCCCCACCACTACCGTCCCCACCACTGTCCCACTGTCCCCCCGCTGTCCCCACCACTGTCCCGCTGTCCCCTCGCCACTGTCCCCACCAACACCGTCCCCACCACTGTCCGCACCCCCACTCGGTTTTCGAGGGGGGGGGGGTTCGAACCGGTAGTGACCCCCCCCCTTTTCATGATGAGCTGGGGGGGGGGGGGGAGGGGTTCGAACCGGTAATGACCCCCCCCGGTTTTCCGGAGGGGGGGGGGGGGGAGGGGTTCGAACCGGTAGTGACCCCACCTGGTTTTCCGCCAGCAGCGGTAGAACACGCTCTTTCACATATATACATACATACCTACCTACCTACATACATACATACCTACCTACCTACCTACCTACCTACCTACCTACCTACCTACCTACCTACCTACCTACCTACATACATTCATTCATACATACATACATACATACATACATACATACATACATACATACATACATACATACATACATACTACCGCTACTGCTACAACTACGACGATGAGGAGAAGGAGGAGGACGGCGTCTACCGCTCCTACTAATGTTGCTTTCCTAGAGGCTCCAACTCCTAGGTAGGGTCGCACTGGGATAATTTGTGTGTATTTCTTTTTGTGTCCTTGGGCCCCTTGGTATTGGGTCGGTGCAGTCCCACCTGCGCCTGGCCCCCCCCCCCCCTGACGTTGCCCCCGAGGGAAACTCGGGGGCCTGGCACACCAGACGACGGTTTCGACGACAGCCGCGCGGGCGGCTCGCGCGGCGGGCGCGCCCAGGGCGCGACCAACGCCGCGGTGGCCCACGCCAGCGCAAGCTGCATTGCGAGCCTCCCGCGCGACCGGTTGTGGAAGGGAGGCTCCGCTGGGGTAATGACCAGGCGAGAGGGGAGGACGAGGAGGAGGAGGAACCGGACGATGAGGCGGAGGGAGGAGGAGGAGGAGGAGGAGGAGGAGGAGGGGAGAGGAGGAGGAGGAGGAGGGCGGAGGAGGAGGGAGGAGGAGGAGGAGCTCCAGGAGGAGGAGAAGGACGAGGAGGAGGAGGAGGAGGAGGAGGAGGAGGAGGAGGAGGAGGAGGAGGAGCGGAGGGAGGGAGGGAGGGAGGTGGCAGCAGCGAGAGAATGAGAGAGAGAGAGAGAGACAGCGCCCTGGGTCCCCCCCGCCAGCCCGACGCCCCCGCGAGGGACCAAGCCTTGCTGATGCAGGTGCCCGCAGGCCAGGGGAGACGCTCCGACCGAGAAGTGAATGATTGCTTGGGCTCCAGGTGTGATGGCAACAGCTAGCCAGCTACAGAAGGGCCATGCAGCTGACCGCTTGAGTGCCGCAGGTCTTACAAGATGCGGCGCCACGCAAGAGGGCGCGAGCGAAGAACCGCGTATGAGACTGAAGCCACCCGCCCTCCAAAGCCCGCGCATGGTGGGCGTCATGATGGGCCTGTTTTCCACTACTACTACCACCACCACCACCACCACCATAAGTTGGAGGGGGAGGAGGAGGAGGAGGAGGAGGAGGAGGAGGAGGAGGAGGAGGAGAAGGAGGAGGAGGAGGAGAACGAAGAGGAGGAGGAGGAGGAGGAGGAGGAGGAGGACGAAGAGGAGGAGAAGGAGGAGGAGGAGGAGGAGGAGGACCCCCTCCCTCTCCAACTTATGGTGGCGGTGGTTGAAAACAGCCCCTGGACGTCAGGGCGACGCACGGGCCCTGCGCTTTCGAGCATCCTGCACCGAGCAACCGCGCCCCGCCCAGAAGCCAACCACGTCGGACGACATCCGCCCTGCCGACCCCGCCGAAAAAATCCTGGAACCTCTGACACTGACGGAACACGCCCGAAAGCCGACGGAAGTCAAACGACACCGTCCGAACATGTCACCCCCCTCAAAATCAGCGAGACGAGATGCCCCCCCATTTTGTTGCAGGCCGCCAGACGAAGGAGTGGGGCGAGCCCGACTGACGACCGGAGCTCACCGCCACCCTGCCACCCCGACCAGCCGCACCTGGGGGAGCTGGTCCCCCCCCCTGGAGGAACCCGCCGCCTCGACAATCTCTCCAGGGGGCCGCTGGGCCCGCGAGGGGGTAGCTGAAACCGAAAGCGATAGAAGCGCATTTGTTCCGACGCCCGCGGACGGTGTCCCCCGATGGCGCTGGACACTGGACACCCCTCCTCACCAGCGGGCTCCGCGCCCCCGGTGTGCGAGGAGGGGGTCCTTCGCAGGCGGGAAATCCGTGTGCGGACGTCCGAGAACAGACAGCACCACCCCCGACCAGGGTAACCGTGGGACTTGCGACGGAGTGGGCCTCGACCGGGCGGGCCTACGAGGATGGCCGCCTGCAGCGCAGCACCGCCTCCGCCGAGGGCCCCTCGCCGCCGCCGCCCCCGCCGTCGCCCTCGCCGCCAGCGCCAACGACGCGCCCACGTCTCAGGAGCGGCCAAGAGGGGGGTGCCCAAGAGGGGGGGGTGCGAATCATGACCGGCGGCATGTGCGCGGCCGAGCGGGGGTGCCAGGGACGTAATGAAATAAGAAGAGGCGCCACGAAATCTGGGGAAACATCATGGCCCCCGCCATGATACCCCCCCCCCCGGAGTTATCACCCACCCCTTTTCCGCCCCCGAACGTCGCCGCCGCCGTTGTCGTCGCCGGCGCCGCCGGTGTCGGCGGCACCAGCGGCCCCACCCGGCCCCGCCGGAGGTGCAGGGCGGAGGGCCCGCCGCCGCCGGAGCGCGGGAGGGGCGAGCTGCCAGAAGCGCTGAGGCTGCGGCTCGGGCCGCGGGGGCGGCGGCGGCACCGCCGCGGCGCGCGCCGCGGGGGGGGGCCCCGGCGGGGCGGCGCCCGGCACACACCCGCTCGCCATCGCTCGGACGTCCCTTCCCTGTGTTTTTGTTTCGGTTTCGTGCGTGGCTTTTTCGCCAAATGATCAAGGATGCTCCTCGATGGTCCTCGCCGAAGGAAGAATGCACACGTCCGAGCGATGCCCAGCCCAGGCCCATGCTCGGCCCAGAGACAAGAGAGCGTACGCACTGTGGGGGGGCCCAGGGCGAGTCTGGCCAGGATCCGTGAGGCGGATCGCGGACGCCGCCCGGCCTGTCTCCCCGTCCTGCCTCCTCTCGCCTCCTCCCTCCACTGCAGGACGCGTCATGAAGCAACATACTCGAAGGTTCAGCCCTCCAGCCCTTTGGGCGGAGGTGGCCTGGGGCGCTCCCTCTTGCAACACCCTTCGTCCCGTCCGGGGAGGGCGCATCACTGCTTCTTATCACTAAGCGTCCTCTCCCCCTCCAGTTCGGGACCCAGCCCAAGTCAATGTCAAACATTCACCCCGCCATCCCTGTCAATGTCAATGTCAATGTCAAAAATAATACTACGATGACAATGTCAATGTCAATGTCAATGTCAATGTCAAACATTCACACAAGTCAATGTCAATGTCAAAAGCAATACTGCGAAGAGCACGCTGCTGCACACTGTGAGCCATGCTCGGGCGCCCCGCGATCGCGCGGCAGTGTAGCCAGTGACCGGCCAAGGCCACCCCTGTCAGACACACATGCAGAGTTCCCGTTGCTGCAGCATGTATTGACTCTGCGCGGGCGCCCCTCGATAAAGAAGGAGGAGGAGGGGGATGAGGAAGAGGAGAAGTTAGCTCTTCTTATTCGGCACGGGTGATGGGGATGCCCGCATGCTGTGCTGCGTGCGCGCGCGCCTACCATCCCTGTGAAAGCCAATGCAACGCGTCTCCCCTGGCTGTCCATCCCCTGGCGATCCCTGCCCATGCTGCGACTCGGGGGCTACTGATGTGGTGGGAGGGGGGGCACGGATTCAAGGATCCCTGCGCGTGAGCGCCAGATCCACGGAACGGGGAAATACCACCCGAAACATGAGGCCCTGTCCGCCCGATTTGGCTAGGGAGGTCCCGCTGGTTCTGCACGCAAGCGGGACCCGTCGCTAGCCCGCATGATCCGATCTATGTTGGCGCTTCCCCGATGGGAGAGAGCGAGACGGCTGGCCTTCGGGGGGTAGGGTAAACCCTTCCCCTGCTTGCCTCCTTTCCCTGGGTCGGGCTAGAAGGGACCCGAGTACTTAGGGCGTCCAAGACGGCTCTACATAGCCCAAGACGGTCTCCAAGATGGGTCAAGATAGCTAACTACAGCCTCCAACATGTGTCGAAGAGGCCCCAAGACCGCTCCAAAACGGTTCCGAAATGCCACGGGATCTTGCAAGACCGCTCCCGAGGGGCCAACATCCTTCCGATAATGAACTCACTGATACCTGCCGTGTCGCCCCTTCGCTTCCAAGGGGCCTCCGTGGCCACAAGACGGTTCCAAGACGGCCTGAGAGAGCCCCAAGAGGGGCCCAGAAGAGGCCCCAGGAAGGTTCAAAGAGCGCCCAAGAGCGCGCCAAGAGCGTCCGAGGGCTCCAAGAGACGATGTCAGCCTCAAAGAGGGCGGCCCTGAAGAGCGCCAGCCTCACCTAGGCTTTTGACATAAGTAGACAGCTGGGGGGCATCCTTGGAGCTGTTGGGCCAAGATTGCTGCAAGGCCGTATCAGATAGCTCAAGATGGCCCAGATGGCGCAAGATTATCGAGGATGGCTCAAGATGTCCTCCAAGATGTCCCCAAGAGACCCCAGACGGCCCCAAGACGGTTGCAAGTGCCAACGGAGCCTCTCAAGGACGGCCGCGAAAGGCCAACATCATGTTGGAACCTAACAAAGAGATCATCGCGGTGTGCCGCGTCGGCCTTTCGCTTCCCGAGGGCCTCCGAGGCCGCAGGGTGGGCCAAACACCGTCCAAGAGAGCCCACAGAGGGGACCAGAAGAGGCACACCACGTCCAAAGAGCGCCGAAAAGTGTCCCAAGAGATCCCCGAGAGAACACTTCTGGAGCTTCCACGAGGCGAGGACAGTTGGGGCCATCCCTTCATTCATCGATACCCTCGAAGATGGCCCCAAGAAGCCCCGAAGGGGCCTTAGAAGGGCCCCAAGAGGGCCCCAGAAGCTCCCCAAACGTCCATATGGCCCCAAGAGTGCTCCGAGAGTGCTCCAAGAGGTCTCTCAAATACTTAAGAGTGAAAGATCCACGAAAGTGTTCATCGTTGACTCCTGCCGTCGTCGTCCTCCTCCTCCTCCTCCTCCTCGTCATCGTCCTCGTTATTGTCGTCATCATCGTCGTTCCTCTTTTTTCTCCACCATCCTCGTCCTGCTCTTGCATCTTCTCCACCTCCCACCTGCCTCGCCATCCTCCTCTCCCGTCCAGTTCCTACTTCTCCACTTTCTCCTCCTCCTCCTCCTCCGACGGCAGGCTCGGCAATTCCACTCCTGGGAATGATCATATCGACTCCGAGCTCCCATTCCACCGGATGCGCGCCCGGCGAACGCTTCTGGATGGGATGATGAGCGCTTTTTTTTACAGCCGCAGGCGGAAGCGCCGGCGGCGAGCAGTCACGGTCGGGCTGCGGCCGCGACTAAATTCCCGGGCGCGCGCGGGGCCGCGGATCAGGCGGCAAAGCAGCGGCTACCCAGGGCGTCTGAGGAGCCAGGCGGTCGTGCAATCCCAGGGAGTCTGAAAGGTCAGTCACCTGAGGCGGTCGTGCAAGCTGCAACCCAGGGAGTCTGAGAGGTCAGGCATCCAGGCGAGGGGATGATGAGCGCGCGCGAAGCGTCAACAATTACCACGGATGCTTGCAGGAAATCATCGTCGCTTCCAACCGCAGGCCTGCGATATCCAAGTCGACTGCCGATCACTCATGCTAATACGATTCTTCCCTCATCCGTCCTCTTCCTCCTGTCCTCTGGCTACTATTCATACGATCTCCAATGGAAACAAAAACGGTCCTAAAAAATCCCCCCACACACACACACACACACCCGAACAACCCAGACAACCCCTCCAAAATGCACACCGTAAGCGCCCCAGCATGTGATTGTGGCTGGCGCTCGAGTGGCAGCACAATACCCACTTAGGAATGTGGCCGGCGCTGAGGCGAGAGCACCACGCACCATGCAGTGCACCTTCTTGGTCTCTCCCTCCTCCTTTTGCCTCCATCCTGCTCCTCTTGCCTCGTCTGTTCGGGGGGGGTGGGAGCGGGAAGGCTGGTCAAGGCTCGACTTAAACGGTGTTGTCGGTTTTCGCTATGGTTTCGTTTTCCCTCGTTTTGTTTTCGCCCCGCCTTGGCGTCAAAACGGAATCGAAATGAAAACGGCACACGAAATCGCCAAAACTGTTTAGGTCGAGCCCTGGGGCAGGGGGAGGGAAGCGGGGGGTCGGGGGCGGCGAGGGGGGGGGGAGAGACGGCGGGGGGGGGGGCGGGCATGAGGGATGGAGTCGCTGGCGCGAGGCTGGGCAGTTGGTGTCCCCGAGCAGTACCTGCACTTTGGGGGTCGCATTTCTTTTGAAAGGAAGTGGGCCTGCGCGGCGGTCTGGCGGCTGTGTCGCCGCCGTCGCCGCCCCGTCGCCGCCTCGTCGCCGCCCGTCGTCTGGACCTGCAGGCCGCTCTGGCCGCCATGTGGCCGCCGTCGCCGCCTCGTCGCCACCTCGTCGCATTTCTTATTGCTTTACATCAATTTACATGTCAACGCTTGATTCGCATTCCTTGATTACGATTTCTTTGCATTGCTTGGCATTGCTCTGCATTGCTCAGCATTGCTTTGCATTCATGTGCATTAATTCGCATTGCCTGAAACTGCTTTGCAATGATTTGCATTGTTCTGCACTACTCTGGAGTGGTTTGCGTTGCGTTGCGTTGCGTTGGTTTGCATGGAGGTGCGTAGCTTGGCATTGGTTTGCATTGAACTGCATTGCTTTGAATTGCTGCGCAAAGGTTTGCATTGCCTTGCACTGCTTTGCGCTGTGTTGCAGTACAGTGCGTTGCTTCGCATCGCGTAGGCAGGACCACATGGACTGCATCACCCAGATTGCACCGCATTGATTGCACCACCTTGACTGCACCGCACTGATTGTAGAAAACTCTGTTTGGGGGTCCACGAGGGCTAACATTTGGTGCTCGGTACAAAGGAACCTCAACAAATGGAGCGCCGCGGCATGGACTCGGTGGCGGTCCGCCCTGCTGTGGAGCAGGTCTCCAAGACCACCCCAGGGGTGCCAACCCGACCTTTTTGATCCGCGGGTCGAGAGCGCACCTCTTCCGGTCGAAGCTGAGCGGGACGCGCGAAGCTTGGATTAGGCAGAGAAGAGGAGGGAGGAAGCGGCGGAGCCTCAGAGCGAGTGCCAACCCGACCCCGCTCACGTCCCATGAAGGGGGCGGCCGCGCCATCGTGCAGACGCAGCCCCTGTGGTCGGCACTCGTGGCTCTGCGGCATGCTTGGCAAGGCGCCCAGGCGCGGCGCGCCGGGATCTCTCTCTCTCTCTCTCTCTCTCTCTCTCTCTATATATATAAGCCCTCTAAGCCCGGATGCCCGGCCCCCTGGGGACTCTCCACCCACTTACTCGCCGCCGTGCCGCGGGGCACGAGCTGGAGTGCCCTCAGGACCTTCGCAGTCCTCCGCCCTCAGCACGAGCCCAGACCCCCGAATTCTGAGCTGTTCTGGGCTACTGGCGTGCTTCCCGCGCTTCCCCAGCGCTTCCGAGTCCGAAGAACCCCCCGTGGGGCCTCGGCCAAGCCTGCTGGCCACCCCGAGAGCCGACGAACATCCAGAGCCCGTTGCCCAAGTCGCCTCCGAGACGGCAGGGATGGCCCCAAGATGGCTCCCAGGATGCCTCAAAGAGGGCCCCAAAACGGCCCAAAGAGAGGCTCCCAAGACAGCTTCCGACCACGTCAGTCGGGCCAGGAACGCCGCAAGACGACCAAAGAGGCCCTCCCCAAAGCTGCCAAAGGCACCCAAGAGGCCTGAGGAGGCCCCGAAGAGGCCTCCAAGCGGCCCCCAGGAAGCTCGCAAGAGGTCTCCTCATCCTTATCCTCATCCTCCTGTTTCCTCCATTTCCTCATCCTCCTCTTCCTCCCCCACGTGTTCCCCGAAGGGCTTCCACAACGCCTGGGGGAACGCATGGTCCAATAGCGTGGCCAAAACTTGCCCCAACGTTTTGCCACATTGGCGTATCCTAAACGTCAGGGGGCGACGGTGATTCGCCGTAAGTGTCTTTGATACAGTCCTGTCCTGGTCCTCCTCCTACGCCTCCTCGTCCCTCCACCTCCTCCTCCTCCTCCTCCTCCTCCTCCTCCTATCCTCGTCATCCTTATCATGTACCCTCCTCCTCCCCCTCCCCTGCCTCCTCCTCCTCCTCCTCATCCCTCCTGCTCCCTCCCCCTCTTCCGACACACCATCCACCTCCTCCTCTTCCGCCTTCTTTTCCGTCTCCGCCTCCGCCTCCGCCTCCTCCTCCTCCTCCTCTCGTCTCTTTCGCCCCTCTTCTCTAGAGACGCTCATACCCTCGCACACCCTCAACACGCACCGCACCACGCACCGCACCACGATCCTCGGCCATCCACCTCTTCCTGGGCCTCGATCCTCGAGCCTGGCATCCTGATCTGTCGCCCTCGGACACAGCACCTTGATCCTCAACCCCAGCATTATTATCATCCATGAGTTCTCCCTCCCTCGACATCAGCAAGCACGCGCGGATTTCTTCGGTCGGCGCCACCCCTCCCCCTAACCCAGCACGCGGAGCACGCCGAGGGCGGGATCGGAAAAGCCGACCCAGGAAATCCGCGCGAATCTCCGAAAGGTTATGTTTATGTACGGTTGTCTCTCGTTCGACGGGCCTTCCCCTTCCTCCTCTTTTCCTCCTTTTCCGCCTCCTCCTCCTCCTCCTCCTCCTCCCACCTGTTCAGTAGGAGCAACGCCTGTGAACGCCTCCTGGATTCCGACGGCTGCTGCCCACGCCGGACGGCGCGTCGCCTGTAATCCCACTCCGCAGCAGCAACGGTCCAGACCCCCAACAGCAGCAGCCGCAGCCTCCTTTTCTCCCGAGCATCACAGGAAGCCGCGGGGCCGCCCTGGCCAGCGCAGAGGGGGCCTCTCGGGGCGGGGCAGAGCGATGACGCCGCCGCGGCCGTCCGCTCCTCCGTCCTCCTCCTCCTCCTCCTCCTCCCTCCCTCCCTCCCTCCCTCACTCACTCACTCACTTCCTCCCTGCCACCTTCCCCCCCTCCCCCTCCTCATCCACAAGATTCATGCCCAGTCTGAGGCGGTCGTCAAACATTTCGAGGTCAAGGTTCAGGACAGTAGAATGCAAGCTCGTGCAGGCCCGAGAGGCTCCCAAAACAGCATCCATATAGACAAATCCTTTATCTGAGTCTGCCTGTGCATACATGATGGTATGGTGGGGGGTCCTGGGCACGTTCGGTGTAAGCGCTGATTGGCCACGGCTAGGCCCCTTCACAGTCTTCAGAAGTTGCTGACTGGAACCAAGACTACAGTGAGTGACGCCCCACCGCCCAGCTAACTATGCACGCTAGGCCTGATAGACCCCTTCAGGAACGAACGAACGAACGAACGAACGAACCACCACTGCGGACAGCTGCGCGGGCTTACTCAAGACCTGGTGAGGGAGGCCGTGGCCTGGACTACACGCAAGCATGCATATGATCAGCGATACAATAACACGTAATAACGTAAGAGGGGAGAAGGAACGTCCTGGATGTGGATGCCAGCGTACTGTCGTCACGTGGGGTGAACGTATTGCCGTTCAAGTGTCGACCAGGTGGAGATGTCTTGAGCCGTGCGAATCCAGGTGAAGTCGGTTGGTTGGCCTTTTGTAGTCGGCGTGAGCGTTGGATGCTGGTCGGAGTTGTTTGTTGGAGGAAGTTGACGACGGATCTGGTGCTGGGTCTGTCGCCTCTGCCGAGCTGATGTTGAGTCTCCTGGGCCACCCGTGGGACCCATCACCCCCCCCGCGGAATTATCGAGCTGGTTTCGCGCATCGCAGTTTACGGATTGCGCCTCCTTGTTCATTGTCCGTATGAACTCATACCGTCCCAACCAGGCCGAAAATCGCCCCCTCCCTCCACCCACTGGAACAAACTATGAGCACACACCCGGTGTTCAAAACTATGAATTTCCAATAAGCCTTTTTTGCATCATATGGGGCCAAATGCACACGCGCCCGTCGTCGCGCGCGCATGCTGACATCTCTCAACAGACGAACGGCCTGTAAAGATATCATCATAAAACACACGGTTTCACAAAACATCGCACGCGCTCTTACGATTTTTTACAGACGCATAATGATACCAAGCGGGACTCTCGCGCGCGCGTTCAAATCTCTCGAACACACCATTTGCACGCGCGCTGTCGCACAAATCCGTTTGTAGAAAAAGAGGGATGACGTGCGCACGCGCGCGTCGTCGCGCGCGCATGCCGAAATCCTTCCAACAACCCTAGGTGTCGAAAGGATTGCAAACACGACTGTCCAACAAACATACGAACATACATGTTTTGCAACATCCATGTTCAAAAAATGGCACTCGCGGACTTGCGGATTTTCCAAAAACCGCAAGCTTTTCAACACTGTCATCAAATTATGTCAAGCGGGCCTCTCGCGCTGCATGTCGAACTCCTTCGAACGCCTTTGCGCGCGCGCTGGGGGTGAGGCAACATCCGTGTCAAATAATTCCACGCCGGCCAGTCGCGCGCGTCGGCCGCGCGCGCATGTCGAACTCCTTCCGAAACCTGCATCGCCGACGCGAGGACATCGTCATCGTTATCGACGGGCGTAATCGGCATCGGCGACGTCATTGGCGTTGCCGTCGTCATCGCCACCATCATCACCATCATCGTTATTCTCATAATCGTGTCTACCGTTGCCGACGTCGCAATACCGCGTCTGCCCAAGCCACCGACTCGCACTAAGGTGCCCGCTGGGAAGTGCTCAGCGGTCAGCGCAAATGCTGCCGCGTCGGTCGCTCCGAAGCTGGCCGCTGTGCGCGCGAGCGTGCGCGGGCTAGCGCGGCAGCAGAGACGCACCAACCAAGGCCAAGCACTCATCGCAATCGCAGCCGCGTGGGTTTTGCAAACCAATTTGCGGGTGGGTGGGTGGAATGTTTGCAGGAGCATGGGACTTGTCAGCTCGATTGCCGAAACAGAGTCAACAAAATCGATGCCCCTGTACTAACGAAAAAAAACGCCCGGACTATCGGTTGCCATTTTCGTTCTGTAGCTTACATATGTCTCTGCCACACCTTCCATCCCAAATATGAGTTCGTACCACCCCAAAACAAAACGGTATCCCCCCCCCCCACCATCCTCTGCAAAACCTACTATGCGCGCGCACTCGTTTACCAAAGTTCATAAATGTTGAATAAACTTTGTTGCAAAACGTAGAAAAACAAAGCGCACACGCGCGTCGTCGCGCTCGATTGCCGAAAACAAAAAAAACTGTGTTGCAAGGATCTTGAACATGTGTTCGCAAGACTGATTTCAAATAGAAAAGAGCTTGCGCATGGGCCCTTGCGAATTATTAACAAAACCATATGCTACCAAACGGGTTTCGCGCGCGCATGTCGAAACTGTTCGAACGCCCTTGCGCGCGCGCCGTCGTGGAAACCCTTAGCAAAAAAGGGATGACATGTACGCGCGCACGTCGTCGCGCGCGCATGCGGGAATCCATTTAAAAACCACCTTCGGTTTCGCAGCGATCTCAAAACAGAGTGCCCAAACAAACATGCAAAAAAACACCTGGTTTCGCAACTTCAGGGTTCAAAAAAGCGTGCGTTCGCGCTCTTGCGAATCCTTGGGAAACATGGTTTTCAACATGTTCGTGGAATTCTGCCAAACGGGCCTCTCGCACCGCATGCCGACATCATTCGCGCGCCCTTGCGCGCGTGCTGGGGGGGGCACGACCCGTGTCAAACAATACCACGCGAGCCACTCTCGCGCCTCGGCCGCGCGCGCATGTCGAACTCCTTCCAAAAGCTTCACCACCGACGCGAGGATATCGATCTCGTCCTTGTTATCGATGGGCGTGATCAGCATCGGCGCCGTCATTGGCCTTGCCGTCGTCATTGCCATGATCATCACCATCATCGCTACTCTCATAATCGTATCCACCGTTGTCGGCGTGGCCATGATACCGCGCCCGCCCAAGTCACCGACTCGCACTGAACTGCCTGGTGGGAAGTGCTCAACAGTCAGCGCCACCGCAGCCGCGTCGGTCGCTCCAGAGCTGGCCGCTGTGCGTGCGAGCATGCGCGGGCTAGCGCGGCCGCAGAGATGCACCAGCCAACGCCAAGCACTCATCGCATGGGGTTTGCAAACCAACTTGCGGGTGGGTGGGTGTGATCGGCGCCTTCCCTGCCCCTTCCCTCCTCGACGCTCCCCGCGTTGGGGTTCGTCGGCCTCTTCCGGCTCCTCCTCTCCTCCTCCTCCTCCTCCTCCTCCTCCTCCTCCTCCTCCTCCTCCTCCTCCTCCTCCTCCTCCTCCTCCTCCTCCTCCTCCGCCTCCTACTCCTCCTCATCCGCCTCGGTCTACTCCTCGGCGCTCGGTGCTTGTCTTGCGAAAACAATGTCGAAGGCAGGGTCGAGAGCCAGGGGGGGGCCAGGACATCGATTGGATGCCTTCGTTGATTTTCTATGTCGGGTCCCAGGGCCTTCGGAAACGAGCCCGCGGCGCGAAATCAATGTCGAAGGCAGGGTCGAGAGCCTCCAGAACCTTCCAGAGCTGAGATCGCTCGGGGTGGGGGGGCGAGGACCTAGATTGGATTCCCATTCGCTCGTGTCGTCGTCGTCGTTGTCGTCGTCGTCGAAGTTGTCGGAGTCGTCGTCGGTGTCGTCGTAGTCGTCGTCGGCGTCGTCGTCGTCGCGTCGTTGTCGCTGTCGTCGTCGGCGACGGTGTCGCTGCCAAGTGCCATTTGGTACCTACCGTCACGGTCCTAAGAGGTCTTGCGACCAAGTTGCGGGCGGGAGGGTGTGATGTTTGCGCGAGCAGTGGTGAGGACAGCTTCAAGACAGTCAAGGTGAATTGCACCACGTGGATTGCACCGCATATATTGCACCGCATATATTGCACCGCATAGGCAATTCAACATGGATTACACACCATTGCGCCACATGGACTTCATAACATATAGTGCACTACATAGACTGCGCACTACTTATTGCACCGCACAGGATGCACAACATAGATGGCGCAACTAGTGCAAAACATTGCATCACATGTGCTGGACGACATCGGTTGCACAACATATGATGCACAACCTATACCGCACATCATAGACTTCACCACATCTACTGTACCACATAGGTTGCACAACATAGATTTCACATCGTACATTGCACAACCTAGACTACACAAAATATGAATTGCACCACATATATTGCTCCACACATATTGCACTAAATATATCTATATCTATATATATATATATATATAGTCATCCAGATAGATGGCACCATTTAGATTGCCAGAATCAGCCTGCTTGGGTCCCCACGCTGGCAAACCATGCCGATTGCCCTCGTCCTGTCGGCGTCCCCACCCCGCCGCAGCACGAGACCGAAACGGCAACGGGCCACGAAAAATCGCCAAAAAGCCGTTTGGCACCTGGCTCGAGCCCTGCCCGACCAGCCACAACTGGGGTAGCTGTGGTCCTTCCCCCCTCTGGGGGAACCCACCGCGTCGACGATCTCTCGCGATCTCTCGCGATCTTTTGAAAGGGGTGTCGAAATCGATGGGCCCCCAGGGGGATAAGGACCGCAGCTCCCCCAGCGGTGGCTGGCCTGCCTGCCGCAGACCTCGCCCCCCTCCGCCGGCCTCGCGCGCCCCCGGCGCGGGCACGCGCCGGCGGCGGCGCAGGGGAAGAGCGCGGGGGCCGCGGACACCTCGCGGGCGGGAGCAGGGGGGGTGATGAGGGCGGGAAGGGGGGGAGAGGGAGGGAGGGGAGGGAGGAGGGAGGGCGAGAGGGAGGGGTTTTTTTTTTGACTGCACTGAGCTCGTTGCAAGTAGCTTGAGCGCTGGGGCCAACAGGACTGGCACAGGCTGCGCACGAGAAACCCGAAAACATGGACGCTGAGCTGCTTCCGCTCTCGCCCCGAAAACTGTCGGGAGAGAGGTATTGGCGCTGCTGGAGGGGAAGAGAGGAAACTTAAAAGAGAGAGGAGGAGTTTGCAGCTCCGTGCGAAGAGAGACATCAGCGGTGCCCTGCTTCGTTGCCCATAGCAGGGCAGCCCTCGAGGCAAAGAGCAGTACAAGGCTGGAAAAAGGAGAAACCTGCCTAGGTGCGCCGTCCAGGTTGCGGTCGGCTGAAGGAGAGGGAAGAGCTGGAAGGAGGGCCAAATTGGCCAGGCCGCCGCGCGGCTGTCCAAACCTCCAGGGGAGGAGTGCTGGACTGGAGAAGGGCGGGGGTTCCCCGTGAGGCCGCGCTGCGGTGAAAAAGCCAGGGCCTGTGTGCTTGCGTGCCGTGCGCGAGTGCCGCGCCCTCCCACGTGGGCTCGACCCCGTCTTTCAGGAGGGCACGGCAGGCCCCTCCCATGTGGGCTCGACCCCGTCTTTCAGGAGAGGCCTGGGGCGATACAAGTAAGCAGTGGAAGGTGTGCCACGAGGCCGCGCTGGGTAGGAAGAAGCCAGGGCTGCTTGCTGGCTTTCAAAACGCCAGCGCCGAGCCCTCCCATGCGGGCTCGACCCCGTCTTTCAGGAGGGCCCGGGCGACCCCTCCCATGTGGGCTCGACCCCGTCTTTCAGGAGGGGCCTGGTGCTGTACAGAGTAGCTGTTCGCAAGTGCCAGAGATTGCTGCCTTGCCGGCCCGCGAAAAAGGTCCGAAGCCAGTTGGCGCTGGCACCACACCCTCCCATGTGGGCTCGACCCCGTCTTTCAGGAGGGCGTGGCCGACCCCTCCCATGTGGGCTCCACCCCGTCTTTCAGGAGAGGCCGAGCTGTGCAAAGTAGCTGTGCGCGAAGGCCAGAGAGGGCAGCCAGACCTGCCGCAAAAAAACTGCCATACCTGCCCATCCCCCTCCGTGCTCTGGCTTTCCGCCTTCGGCGGGAAAAACTGGCTGAGCTCTGGAGGATGGCTGGTGACTCGAGCCGCCTATGGCGGAGACTGGTGCGCGGCAGATGCGGCAACGCGCCGCGCTGCGGCCGCTGCATCCAAGCCGGCACGTGCTGGGGTACAGGTGAAAAAGGGCCTAGAGTCGTCGTGGCGTGGCGGACTCTGCACAGTGGGGCTCGGCAGCTGCGCCCCTGGCACTGGGTCTGCCTGTGACTGCTGCGGGGCCGCGAACAGATTACTCGAGGCTGACAGCACCGCGCGGCAGGCCCTCGCCTCCGCTGCTGTGATCCCCGGTGGCGTACATGATGGCTGCACTGGCGACGGCACTGACGCTGGCACTGCCTCTGGCTGGCGTGAGGGTACTGGCACCGGCCCTGTCGGCCGTGAAGGTGCTGGCGGCGCTGGCGCTGCAGGGCGTACTGGGAGTGGTACTGGCCTTGACGGCCGTGAAGGTACAGAGACTTGCCGACAAAAATGGTGGCGGGCATAAGCCCTGCGCGAGGCCTAGAGCAGTGGCAGGGCTGGGGCCTGGATCAGCCTCCGCCCGCGTCCTAGGCGGAAAGCCTGGGATTGGGGTGCCGCGGGGAAGAAAAGGAGGCCGTGCAGAGGGGGGGGCAGAGGGGGAGGTGAACTCGCCCTCCGGGACCACCACGTCGTCGCCCGCTGCCGCCAGCCGCTGACCGAGAACCCCGTGGTCTGGAAAGCCCGCCTCGGCAGCCATGGCCGCTGGTCCCGCTGCCAGCGGAGACGAAGGGACTGCAGCCGCCGCGTCGCCTCCATGGGCACCGGGAGCGACAGCATCCGGAGAGGGAGAGGCCGCTGCGCCCCGCTGCGCAGAGGGCGTTGACGCCGCCGCCAGCGCCGAGGCCACCGCCTGGGCCAGCTGCGATGGCTGGCGGGCACGATGGCTGGTGAGGGCTGCGAAGGCGCGCAGAAGGTGTTCTGACGCGCGCGCCTCGGCCCTCGTGTACTGCGCGCGACGCGCGGCAGCCTTCCGCGGCGGCCTGCGGCGGCTTGCGGTGGCCGCGGGAGGCGCCTCCATAGCGCGGCCGAGGGGACGGGAGCAGGGGAGAGCGGGGAGGCGGCGCGGGGAAGCGCCGATGGCGCTGGCTGGCGCAGAGCGGCGGCTCGTGCCAGCTGGCGCTGGGAGGGGGGGAGGGAGGAGGGAGAGAGGGAGGGAGGGAGGGGAGGGAGGGAGGAGGGAGGGAGGGAGGGAGGGGAGGAGGGAGGGGGGGGAGGGAGGGGAGGGAGGGGAGGGAGGGAGCGGAGGGAGGGAGGGGAGGCAGGGGGGAGGGGAGGGAGGGGAGGGAGGAGGGCGAGAGGGAGGGGAGGGAAGGGGGGGAGAGGGAGGGAGGGGAGGGAGGAGGGCGAGAGGGATGGGGGGGAGGAGAGCAAGAGGGCGAGAGGGAGGGGCGCACTGGCTGCTGGAGCGTGTGCTGGCAGACCTTTCCTCGCCAAGCCTCCTTTGCGTCGCGGCAACGCGTCGCTCACATCCGCGCTGCTGCAGTTTCGGTGACCTGCCGTTGTCACCGACCCTGGTGACCCGCCAGGGGCTCCAGGGGGAATTGAACAAGGAGCAGGGGGAGGGCGTGAGGAGGAAGGAGAATATTCGGAGGAGGTTTTAGGAGGCGGGGTTCAGGTGGGGGAGGAGAAGGAATTCCCCAGAAGGAGACGCAGGGCCCCATCACGATGGGGCAGGTCTGGGAGGCGGAGGGAAGAAGGGGAGGGGGACCGGGGGGGAAGGGAGGAAGGAAGGGAAGGAAGGAAGCGAGGGAAAACAGGAAACAGCATGAGAACCGGTCCAGGAGTCATCCGCATCGAAGCCTGACCTGAACTATTGAGGACGACGGGACGAGCAATCCTCAGAAACCGTCGGATACAATCCCAACGAGATAGGCGCGCGGCACGCCGCCTTTCGAGGGGCCCCTGCCGTCCAAGATCCAGTCCCTGGCCCTGCAACGGGCAGGGCTGTGTGGGCTCAAGAGGCTCCTTGCCCCTGTTCTCCGCATGCCCACTTCGGCAAACCCCCTCGCACACACTTCGTGGCCCCATTGGGAGCACCTACTGCTTCAGTGGGTACCGACGCATAGCACCACCGCCCCTCGGTACACCCCTCGCGAGGATGTCGGCTCCAAAGAGAGCTCCACATGCGGCCTCAGTGGCCGCCAGACCTGTCCCAGGGCGCGCTCTGGATTCTCGGGGCGAAAGCAGCCCTGGCGACGAGAAGCCCCAAAGCTCCCCCAAGACGGGCGCCGCACACCGCCGCCGCGGCCGCACCGCCGCCGCGGCCGCCCGCACACGGTGGCCGCGCCGCCGCCGACGCCACAGCCGCCGTGGCCGCGCGGCCCCACCTGCGCCACAAGGGGCCCTGCGGCCGCTCCAGCGCCCGCGGCCGGGCCGCTGTGCAGCGGGTCCCGCGGGCAGCCCTGGCACACGCCGGCCTCGCGCGGCGGGTGCAGCCGGCCGGCTCCGCCAGGGGCCCCCCGAGGCCACGCCAGTCGACGACGGCGACGACGGCGACGGCGACGAACGGCGACGGCAGCGACGGCGGCAGCGACGGCGGCAGCGGCGGCGGCGGCGAGGGCGACGGCGACGGCGACGACGGCGACGACGACGGCGACGACGACGACGGCGACGGCGGCGGCGGCGCGATGAACAGCGGATGACGACGACGACGACGACGACGACGACGACGACGACGACGACGACGACGACGACGACGGATTGCGACGTCGGCGACGACGTCGGCGACGGCGGCGACCAGGACGACGACAATGTCCAAGAGCACGACTGGGACGAGGGCCGTGACGGCGGTCGAATGCGGTCGAAGGGAGGACAGGAGAGGAAAGCGCAGAAAGGGAGGGTAAAAGAGGTGAAAAAAGAAACAGGAAGGAGGGAAGAAGGATAAAGGCATCTCCCATCCTTTTCGTGGTCACCGTCAGGGTCGGCATAATCATCGACAGCAATAGCACTGCCCCCGTCAGGATCCAACGAACCGAGTAATCAATCGCGTCGCCCTTCTGTCGGCTGACATCCAGCAGCGAGCAGGAAACACTGCTCCAGCAGATGCGGGTCAGAGAACCGATCTAGGTCGGCCACACGAAAGCGCGCTGCGCCGCAGTGCACTGTCGCAGAACCGCGCCCCGGTAGACAGCAAGACGTGAATCCTACCCCTACCAGCCTTATCCCTGAGGGGTCCAAATCACCGGTGGGGGGGCGGGAAACTGCGAGCAGGCGAGAGTGGAGTGAGCTCCGACAAGTGCGGCGAGGGCTCGGATGCCGCCACTGATCTGACCGCACCTGGACATCTGGCGTCCTGAACACAAATCAGGACGTCTGACACCAGGCCCCAGGGCCCACAGAAAGCAACACGCGGAGCGCGAAAGCCATGCGGCGAAGGTTGGGGTCGACAGCTCCGAAGCTCACACGTTAGAGAAAAATACGGCGTGGGATGTCCTGCGGCCTTGTGAGGAGCAGGGAGAGTTCGTAGAAGGGCCTGCAGGCTTGCAAGCAGGTCTCACAGAAGGCCACAGGGCGGTCTCAGACCCCGCTGCCTTCTCGGCAGGATTGCCCCCCTCGCCCCAACCACCTCTGCGTGCCGCCGAGTCGACGCTCCCATCTTCGCGCCGCGCCCGCGCGGCCCAACCGTCGGGACGGGCGAGGGGCTGCGGCGCCGCAGCGGCGGCGCAGCGAAGCGCGGCAGCCGCGCAGCGCGGCCTCCGCGCAGCGGCTGCGAAGCGGCAGCTCGCAGGAAGCTCGGCGTCCGGGCGGGCGCGGCGGCCGCGAGGCGACGGCGAGGCCTCCGCCGGCGAGGCCCCCGCGTCCGGCAGCGAAGCCGCCACGGGCGGCGCGGTGGACGGCGGTCGGCGGCGGCGGTCGGCGGGCAGGGGCGGCGGCGCACCGCGCCTGCTGCTGCGCCTCGGCGGCCTGCCTGGCGGCCGCGAGCCTCCTGGACTCGTTGCGCGCGCGCCCCTCGGCGAGCCTGGCGGCCGCGGGCGCCTCCCCCACCCACCCCCCTCCTGCGGAGCCATCGCGCTGCCCTTCCGAAAGACAAGTAACTCGCCATCGCTCGGACGTCCATTCCCTGTGTGTTTTTTCGGCTTCGTGCGTGCATTTGTTCGCCAAAGGATCCAGGATGCTCCTCGATGGCCCTCGCCGAAGGAAAAATGCACACGTCCGAGCGATGCCAAGGTAACACCCCTCCTTCCGAAAGACAAGAGGACCGGGAGGAGGAATAGGAGGAGGAGGGGGAGGAGGAGGAGGAGGAGGAGGAGGAGGAGGAGGCGGAGGAGAAGGAGGAGGACGAGGACGAGGAGGAGGAGGGGAAACATAAGAAAGGCATCCTTCGCGCTGCCCTTCCGAAAGACAGGTGAGGAAGGAAGGGGCGGCCCTGGCCACGGCGCGCTCTGGCGACGAAGAGGCTCTCCCTGGCCCTGGCAGGGCCAGGGAGCTGCCGGGAGACCAGAGAGCCCCTTCCGAGGACCCAGAGAGGTCCTTCCTTCCGCGCGCCTTGGCCGTGGGCCGCTTCGCGGGCTGCGCCCCCCAGGATGCGCGAGACGCGCGGCTATCCTCTCCTCCTCCTCCTCCTCCTCCTCCTCCTCCTCCTCCTCCTCCTCCTCCTCCTCCTTCTCCCCTCGAGCCACCGCCCTGGAGAAGGGGCGCGAAGCGCGATCATCTTCCGGCCCCTGCGGATGACAGGACAGTCAACCGATATAGGATACGCGGAAAGGATGCAAGGGCCTTGGAAGGCCATAACGACACTTTGCGAGCGGGGCGCGGCCAGCGAAGTCAGCCAAAGTTGGGCCGAAGGGAAAGGATACAAGGGTAGCCGTGGAAAGCCGCTCCTCCTTACCTTATTGTGGCCCCTCCCGCCCGCTCACCCTTCGCCTCCGCCCTCCACCTCCTCTGGAGAAGATATTCCTGAGCGCAGCAACTGGCCGACAGTGGACAAAGACAGGCCACAGTGCGCCCGTCAGGCACCCAAGACGCCCCCGAGGCCCCTCAGAGACCACCAGGGGAGGCCGCAAGAGAACCTCAATATGCCTCCAAGAAAATTCCAAGAACTCTCGCGCGACGCTCGAGGGACTCAGATGTTCGCCCTCGAATGCAAGCCGCCACTGCCCCACGCTTCCATCTCCACGTCCGCGCTAATCTTGCTCAGGGTCGAGGGACAGGCCGCAGGACCTCTGCGATGCGCACCCACCTCCAGCCACCAGCGAGGAAGGGCAAATCTCAGGAATAATCACAGGCAGCCTGGGCCCCTCCGACCTCGAGAGCCCACTCCGCCGACCTGTCCCGGGGCGCGCCCCGACCAGCACTTTGAGGCGAACCGAGCCGTGGCGACGGGAGCGCAGGAGAGCCCAAGCCCTCCATGACCAAAAGGCCGAAAGCCTGTCTCACCTCGCGAGGGGCAACGACAGGGGGGGGCTGGTATTGAGGGGGAAGCATCGATCTGGAATCGGCGATGCCGCGATGCGTCGCCGACAGTTCGGCGCTGGGCCCCCGATGGCAACTCCGCACCTTGCGGGGCGGGGTTGGACTATCAGACCTCTCTCGGCAATCAATCAATGGGCGACCAGGGATCGATGCTTCACCCCCTATTGAAGAGGCCCTGGGACACACAAATAAATACACACAATAAAAGGATTCCCCATATTTTCCTATATTTTCTGGGTTTCTGTCTTCCCCCCCGCTGCACTATATTTTCCTATATTTTCTGGGGAATCGACGATTACTTGTGTCTGTGTGTTCTTTCTCCTCCTGACCTATGCTTATCCCCCCCTATCTTTGCCCCGGACCTCGGCACACCGACGGCAGGCCGGGCCGGGGCCGCCAACGTTCCAGCCTGTGCGGCAGCACGTAGAGGTG